TGTTGCGGCGGCGGCGGCGGCGACGAAGGCTACCAAGAAAAGAATCGGACCTACCTTCATCTTCTACATCACCTTCTCTTCTTCTTCTTCTCTCTCTGAGCTTCTTTGGGTCTTGTTGTGAAGAGGTGAGCGATAAAAGAGTCATTTATAATCCAATTTGAAGGATGGTATAGTTCCACGTCATTCATGAATTGAAGTAGTAGGGGCAAAACTGAAGACAAAAGCATATAGATAATAGGAAATCGTAAGGAAAGGTTGAGAGATTTTTGAGGACAAAAGAATAAAAGATGCTCATTTGTAAATCATAATGAACACGCACGTGATCTGACACGATTTTCCTCTCAGAAGATAACGAAGATGCCTTATCCTCAGCCTATGATGGTTTGTCATTTATATTGGGAGTTGCTTGTTTCTTTATATAATATACTGTCAAAACGTGAAAAATAATGAAACTGATTATTCAGGCTATATTGGTTTTATGCAAAAGACAGATACCAGTAGCCTGAGGTTACAAGCGGCATGTTTAAAACTCGTCTGTTTTTAATGCTTTATCATTATTCGTTTACCAAACAGTAACAAAATCGTTCATCTTAACCTAATGTCTCTCATAGCCCTAATATAATAGCCAAACAAACCTAGCAAACGATGAAGAGTAATGATGGATTCTTCTTTTTGGCTCTCTTTGGCTTCACCAGAGCTACGTTTATATATACATGACTCAGACAATGAAACCCTAAAGAATGGAGGAAGTTACTAAGTACTAGAAGTAACTTGTCGTGCTCACAGATATATCGAAATAGTAAACTGAAAGAAGGCACTCCCTGAGTCATATTTAACACGTTTTGTCTCTTCTTTCTTAATTTTTGATGATTCCATTTAATAATAATGAAAGGGACTGAAAGAGAGACGACTTGAAATTGAAGAAACACGTTTATCATCTCATTCTCTCGTCCTTTCCCTTTCTTGTCCTTTCCCACTCGTCGCCACTCTCATAAGGTCCCTTCACCATATAATGATTCGCTGAATTGCCCTGCAATGGTTTTGTTGCTTCCTTAAATAGTTTCACGTGTGAGACTGTACATTTTTGAATTCTTGCTTTGCAGAGACGATGGGCCATATGGTGGTTGCTGAACAAGCTTCATTTTAAACCAATAAAACCACCTGATGAAGGTTGCATAAAGGACGACTATAGAAGCAATCATATATAGTTTTAGTTTTATTAAGACATATACTACAGCTTAGTCCTTGATATAAGAAGTCTTTGATATAAAGAGCCAATGATCGAGTTTGGTTTTAAATATCATATCTCTCATTCACTTATTAATGGTAAGAATTCTAATCAAAGAATAGTTTTAATGCACATGATTTAATTAATCTAGTATTTAGGAATGCCAATGCATATTTTTAATAATTAACCAATTTAACTAATATTTTTAATTTCTTTAAATTAACTATATATCTAACTCTTATATTAGGGTTGAAACTAGTATATACTCCTGTATTTTAGGATCTTTATTCTGTTGGACTAGAGCTCACCCACTCTTATATCGAAAAACTTTCTGAGGGCAACATCTGGATTTGTCTTCTGATAGAGTTTGGGACTCTAAAATTGATGCCATTGATGAAATCGGATGAAAGAAGAGGAATGGGATGGTGGTGGATGGATGCACGATCATCAATGTAACATCTTATTATAATATCAAAAAATATAAATAAATAAACAGCTTACACTTGTAATATTAAAAGTTTAATTTATAAAATATTTTAATAAATGTTTTACAATGCACTACATCTTGAATAATCTATTTTCTTGCCTTATTGGTGGGAAAGCATTTTAAGAGGAAAAAAATGGATTATGAAAGGATGTAGTCCCAGCCGAATGAGTTTGATTGCTAATCACTCTTGAACGATGAGCACCCCAAACTCATCTAATTTGGATAATTCATATTTAGTTCTTTTTATTTTTTAAAATAATTATTTTAATGAGGGAAGAATCAAAAATAAAAATATCTTCTGACTATGATTTTTTTTCCAAAAATAATTAAATAAAAATATTAAATCCAGACGATCAGATCTAAGCTCATCAATTAAGTCCAACGCCTGGCCCCACTGTGACAGGAGGAGGATTGGCTACTGTCCCATCAGGCCCCACACCATCCTCACCCTTTTCCGCCGCCACAGAGATGCCCCGCTCCACGTCCTTTACCGGTAGATTTTATAATTTAAATATTACAAGTGTAAACCTTTTCCATCATCTAATCTTTTCTCCGAACCAAGGACGTTATAAATTCACGCGATTCATGAAGCAGCAAGAAGCCAAGAAGCGCTTGCTGGTCAAAAAAAAAAAAAAAAAAAAGAAGCCAAGAAGCGCTGCAGTGGAAATAACGGGAAATCACAACCAAAGGTTCATATTTTTTAGTACAAAAACATGCCTTATCCGCAGCCCAAAAAAATTAGTTAAAATTAGCTACTTGTTATAAATTTGTATTTATTTTTTTTTAAACGTACTCTTTAATCATATCTATTAGAATGAAAATTCCTTTCATATATGCAGTCATTGACAATAATTTGAAAAAAAATCATAAATTTTGAATATAAAGTGAATTGAGATGTTGTATTTAAGATCAAAGTGATATTATTGTCTAACTCCTACATATAAAAATGGAGGCAGCACAATTTTTTGAATAGATTTGATTTGCATTTTGATTCTGTATAAAATTTTAATACAGTTTTTTATTTCTTCAGAACTTAGCTTTTTCCTAATAAATATAACTATAATCTAATGGTGATTAATTAATCATCTCATGTGTTCTGAGTTCTAACGTGACTCATGAAAACAATGGCTTGTTCGAATTTTAGTTAGAAGAAGTATCCATATTTAATATTTGATAGTATTTTGAATAGAATTATCACTAATAGGAGAATAAATGCTTTACCTACTTCATTCATATTTTTCAAGTCCCTTTCCATAATATGTACGATAATTTCAATTGGTAAAACCTGTAATCTCATTTCCGTCAATTAATTAGGTAAACAGTCAATAAAATGATTAGTTGATTGAAATTAGGGGAGTTTGAATAGTTGGTTGCCGTGGATTTTAATTTTATCCTAAAAAAGGATATTTACGTGGAGTTTAATTTTAATCCTCAAAAAGGATATTTAGATACTAAAATAAAAGAAAAAACACAGTCGTTCCTCAATTTATAAGGTTCTAAATTTATAGTTTGTTTCGACCATACGATCGAGCAATCCAGAAATACTGGACACAAATTAATGATACTATTATTTTCCACAATAATCACCGGGGACATGCCCCCTTTTGTTTTGGCTTCTTTCCTGATTTTTTTTTTTTGGTTTTGTTTTGTTTTTTAATTTTTTCTTCTTTTTATTTAATAATGAAAGGGACTGAAATAGGAGACGACATATATTTGTCCTGTCACCACATTTACAAGCCTTTTGTTCTCTGCTGCTCCCCTCGTTGCGCCAAAATTATGACGGGATAAATTATTGTACAAAATCGTAACAAGCCATTATTTTTAAACAAACGGTAAATATTATATTTCCCCCTCTCTTCCTATTAAAGCACCTCCAAAAATATTAGATTATCAAATTTATTTAAAAATAAAAGGAGTTGTTAACTTTGCTCATATATATTTAATTAAATCCATACATAGATATAGGTTCACGTTCCGATTATCTCATTATTTTCCTTTTATTTTTATTTCATATAACAAAATGTAAAAGAAAATTTATTTTTAAATTGACATTATATATGCGCAATATAATTTCTTATAAAGTTATCAATAAAAAATTTATAAAAAGAAGGAAATCTCATGTTATTTATATAAACCATAATATAAGAACCAATTCAAACCAGCTTAGGTGCAGAGCACTACTTTTCCTTTATTAATTTAATTAAGTCCTAGTATATTAGGATTTAGGGGGGCCATCTTCACGTTGATTTTATTTTTACAAACAGAATAATGAATATAATTGATTATTGTGACATTCTCAATTCATCAAGGCATGACTTAGGACCCACTCTCTTTTCGTATCGGTATACTACCTCCAGTCCTAAATATAAAAGCTAATTGACTAATTTGAGGATATTAAAAAAATAATTTAAGTTAGTTATTTGTAATAAATAGGTATTGTCTTTTCTAAAATATCCTTACTAACCAAGTGTATTGACTAAAACTACCATTATTAGAAGGACTACCTTAGAAAAAAATATAAATATAAGAGACAAAGTGAATTGAGATCTTATATTTAAACCAAAATAAAAATCAAACGAGGTCTTATATTAAGGACCGGATGTAGTATGTATGTATATAGCTAGATAATCAATGTACGGTTAAAAAGTGAAGAGTCACGTACAACACGATAAAAATAACATACACATAGTTGGATTCGGCTTGGGTGCTCATAGAAAAAATAGTACCCAACGCTTTTTTTTTCAGACTGTCCAGATTTATTTATTTTTTCTTATTTTTATTTTTTTAAATAATTATTTTAATGTATATAAAATTTAAAATGAAAATAATATTTTAATTATCATTTTTTTAAAGAAAATTCTTATTTAAAACTAAATAATTAAAAATATTAAATATTGATAGCCACATCCCACATAGGCACACTCACAAAGTAACACCTGTACTGGGGAAAAAAAAAAAAAGGAAGGCCCAAGCCATTAATTTGACACCGTATGGGGAGGGTGGGGCATCCTTATCTCATGATTTTCACGTGATTCGGAAGCCCTAAAAACAACCCAAAAAAAAAAAATCAAGGATATTTGAATAATTGAGCATATCCTTGAGCTTTGGCTCTATAAATAGATTCTCCTACTTCTCCACTCCTCACACCCAACGACCAAACAATGAAGACTTCTAATGCATTCTCCTTCTCCTTCTTCTTCTTGCTTGCTCTCTCTGCTCTCTTCACCGGAGCTGAGTTCATATATGACTCAGACGGCGACATCCTAAACAACGGAGGCGCTTACTACATACTGCCACCTGGTTTTGGAGGCGAAGCCATTAAAGGAGCCGCCATTGAAAGAAGCCCGTCGTGCCAACTCGCCGTCGTTGCAGAAATATCATACGATAAGGGCTGGGCAGCAAATATTAGAACGCCATTTCCTGTCAAATACATCACAAACGATTATCCTTTAAACATATCGTTTGCTAATTTGCCATCAAACGACTGCACAAAGACGGGTGATTGGGTGGTCATAGATTTGATCGGGTCGGAGGGAGAGCCAATTATGGCTGGCAAGTTTGAAGAATTGAAGCATGCTGTGAGTGGTTATTTCTACATCAAGCCATATGGGTCTACCCGGTTTTATAAGCTTGCCTTCTGCTATTCAACAGCTTCGTGTGGATACGTTACTTTGATGAATACTCATACCACCAGCAACCGCCTTTTGACTGTGTCACTGGACAGGAGTAAAGAACCATTGGTGTTCAAGTTTGTGAAGGCAACAAGTAGCAGTGGGAAAGTCGCTTCTGGTATATCCATGGTGGTGTGATCGATGATCATATCCATGATATAATATAATATAATAAACATCTCTCGCCTTCTTATCCAGAGTGTGAGAATTACTCCTCCGGCCTTATACTGATGTGTATAAGAGTTTTATATTTAGAACCGAAGGAGTATAATAATTTGTAAGTGAGATGTACGAAGAGAGAGAGATTTCTAGGAGCATTTATACGCTTGTTTGTTGTTGCTTTAATGAGTACTTCTCTGTGTTATATATATAAATAACTTCTAGCATATTTTTATAGATAAAAAAAAATCTTAAAATGTGTTAATTCTCTATTAAAATATAACAATTTTTTAACTTTATCTCTATTTAATATATATATCTTTAAAAAAATAATCTTTAAAAAAAATAATCATCCACACTATAAGAATAAAGGATAGAACAGTGCATTTATGTTAAAAAATTTAATGAAATGATTTATAAAATAAAATAAAAAAATCTTTTTTTCCTGCCTTATAAATAGGACTAAAGGGTTTATGTTAACTGATTAGAGCAAAGTTACTCAGCTAATTAATAATAATTACCACTAAGCTACTTATTAATTCTTTTAGTTTCTTTTATTCTTGTTTTTTAATTAAAGAGACAGATACTCCTTCAATCGTAGATGTAAAATTTATTTGGGGAGTATAAATAATCTACATTTACAAACGTGATCAAACACTAATTATCCATGTGCTGCTTTTTCTTTTCTTTTCTTTTTTGGCCAATATTAACACCGAATTCAGCCACACACATAGAGCTCTAAATGAAAAAAATGTTTTCTCCTTCTTGAAGTGTTTAACAATCCTTCCAATAATTTATAAACATCCGCACATTAAAATACCAGCGAAGATCTATCTGCTTCATTCATACAATTTTAAGTTTTATTGTCCATAACACTTACACTAAATTATGGGAAATGCAAATAGCCCTATTCATTTCAACAAAAAACACTATGGATGCATCAGTAACTCCTCATATATTCCTATATTGTACATTATATTTAGATCATTTAAAAAATAACTGATTTTAAGATATTGGACGCGAGTAAATCCTTTAGTTTTAACTAAAATTTTCATATTTAGAATTTTTTGCATAAAAATTTATAAATTAATTTTTTGTGTACATTTGAATATTATTAAAGTAATATTTTCTATTTTAAATGTCAGCTTTTTTTTTAGTGAATTTTAAATGTCAGCTTTCCCATTCAATAATCGGAATGATCACGTGTTTCATGATACGGATAGAAAAAGCCAAAACGGACGCGTCTGCGTGTATATTAATCGGTCCACAAAATATTGTTATAAAAAAAAAAAAATTGAAAACACCCATTGCATTCAATCATGATCATAATTTTACCCAAAAAAAGAAGTTACAAGTATTTTTTTTTCAATTTTTTTAACGTAATATTCAATTAATGTGTCACTATTTTTTAAACCTTTTTTTTTGTATATACTTTTTCCCCCCCTAATAATTAATTAATACTTTTTCCCCCTTCACATCTCAGAAAGGAACAAAACAATGTGTATTAGATTAGACCTGGTTTGGAATTATGATTATAAGCACATTTTACGTAAATCAAAACAAAACTGTTCAGACATCTATCCACCTTTAATCCAACAGTTTTGTGTTTGTAAGTTTGCCCCAGTTGGCCCAATAAATCCGGTCTGACTTGCCCAGTTTAGCTAGTTGGATCGGGTCAGATTGGGTTGAATTGTGGGGCAACGGGGAAAGCAAATATGTCTGAAGCATTTTCAAAAGTCAAAACATTTAAATCCAGATTTAATAATTATTAAAATTTAAATATTTATCATAATCTTTTCATATAACTTGTAAATTTATAAGAACACACCATTACTCACAACTCGGATAGCACGTCGGTTTGGATATAAAACTTCATAGCATATAAGTCCACTCCTAATTTTGAGAAAATAATAAAATTATAAAAATTCAATTTGTTGGCCAAAGATATAAAAATTCATATTTAAAACAACAATTAGTAAAAGAAATGATAATGAAAATCTTAATTTGTAATTTGATTTAAAATAGACTTTTTTTAGCTAAGGCAAATCCATTCATTTTGAGGATATTTGGTATATTACTTTTGGTTATTAATATAAAAGTTAATTGAAAATTTAATTTACTTTTAAATATAAGACCACGATCTATTTATTTTTTTACTTATTTATTTTACTCTCTAGTAATCCCTATAATCATTACATATGTTAATAAGTTTTTATCCAGGAGTAGTTTTAATGTACATGATTAATGATGATATTTTTAAAAAAGATAATATATATTTATTACGAATAATTAACTTAGTGAAACTTTTTAATATTCTCACATTAATTATTGAACAGTTATATTAAGCATGTAAGCAGCAAGTGAGTTTCAAACAACTTTTTAAACGTGATTTATGGAATACGAGATAAATATGTAAGATGAGTTTTATCTTAACTTACGTGAAAGTGCTCATAAGTATTTTTGCAATGTTGATCCAAACAAGCCCTAATAAGTGGGGATAATGACTTTGTGATCCCAAAGAATGGGATGAGATTACTAAAAAAATCTCATGACAAAGTAAGTAATGAGTTCCAATATAAAGAATGATAATAAAATTCATACTGCTTACTTATGATTAAGATTTTTTAATGATTCTATACACACACTAAATACCTTCTCATCCTAAATATAAAATCCGCTTTGTAGTAGAATCACTTTGTAAGTAATATATTTAGGACAGGAGGTGATATGTGTGTGTGTGTGTGTATATATCTCTTCAATTAGGACCTCACCGATAATTTTCTTTAATAAGTAATATTGCATCATCATCAGTTAAATTTCACGCCGCCTTTCGTTTAGCAGCCTCCACTGTTGCCCGTTCATAACCTTGAATTGTGTATTAGTTAAACACAATAAAAGGGTAAAAATTATATTTTATTTTAAAAAAATATTCTTTTTTACGGAAAAAAAATGGAAAGTTGAGGAGAAAGAACAAGTAAGAAAAAAGGCGTGAGAGATTAGTAATGTAGAAAATGGAGGGAAGGAGTGGGAATGAAAATTTTGATGAGCCTGATTTAAAAAATTGAATAAATGAAATTAAAAACTTTTAATTAATTTTTATCTCTCTTTATCTTATATATATTTTTTTATGTGTACTCTCTTCTCCAATTTTTTTAAATTGAATTCATCAAAATTTTCTTTCCATTCCTTTTTAACCAAATCGACCAAGGAAGTAACATATAACTCGATCTAGTTTAAATTTTCTAGGCTCTGATTCATTTTCATATGACTGTGCAATAAAAGGAGAACTGATAAGTTGCATATAGTGCATATTATGATCCATCCAATATGATAGTGATTGATAAACAAGATAGCTATATTTATAGTTAATTAACCAACTCTGCCAATCTATAGCTCGTACTTAATTAAATGAAAAGGTATTAATAAGTTTGAAAATAGAAATAACTTAGAAGAAGACTAAAATTGGCGTTGAAATATTCGTAAAGAAAGAATTCGTGGTTTGAAAAATGTTGGTGGACTAGCAAAGGAAGGATTTATATGTTGCAATAATAATTTTTTTTTAAAAGGAAAGATAGACTTTTCCGAAGGTTACCATGCCCAGTAGTTTTGCTTGATATTTAATTGGTACATAAAATGAAATAGAATAATAAATAAACAAGTAAGTAGTTTTATGGATGACAATATTCTTCACATCCTTGTGTTTGAGATGGATCCAAAAAACTAAAATTATTAATAGATATTTATTATAGTATAATGGGTATCATCAAAATTTTCCTTCACCCTTTTCTTTTCCATATACATTAGCTCAATTAAAATGTATTGAAAGGAGTTGTTGTCTGAACTTCAAACGGGGTCCCCAATAAGAAATAACATTTAGGAAAAATTACTGTAAGTTCCCAAACAAGAAAAATAACTATTAAAAGGTCTCTTGAATATTTCAAACTAATAAGAAGTCCCAAGGGACTTGGTGAAAAATTCTATAAATGAAATTACAAAGTTGTCCTCAGATTAAAAAACAAAAATTGAAGGATTCGTTCTCTCTCCCTCGCCCTTCTGTTGTAAATTTTCCTCACCGTGTTGCCGTCGGAACTCTTTTGCCACCACCATTGCCAAAATTGTTGCTCGTTTGCCGCCATCTCCGACCTTTCCCCCTCCCTCCAAAATATCTATTCTTCCTCTCCTTCTTCGTTGTCCTCACCTCCTTCTTCATTTTCGCCAATCATTGCTGCATTAATGCCCTCTTATTTTCCTTAAAACACTCACTAGATCTACATCATCTTTTTCACTCCAATCAAGCACTCTTCGTCAACCCCGAAAGCTCCTATCCCACTTCATCACAGTTCAAGCCACTTCGTCATCGTCTCTCACTTTCTCTCACTCCACCTCTTCGAATTTATTCTCAAGATGAGATGATTCCAAAGATAAACCAAGCCATTGAATTGGGAGATACAGAAATGGGTAATTTGATTGGAGTTGGTGGCAGCGGCGATAAGGATCATGACAAAAATCTTTATATTACTTCCGATGCTGGCACCATGCTTGTAGCCTTTTATGAGGCATAGCATCATCTCTGTTCAATTTTCAGCAATTCAGACTTTGGTAATTTATCTCCATTTCATAATACTAGTGAAAACCATTGATCTCATCTATCACTCCTTAAAACATATTGTAATAAACAGGCTTAGTATTAAGGAGGACTTGAATTGTAAGGAAGGGATTGTTGGGCTTATTATTATTGTTTAAGGCTATTATGTTTGTTCTGTACATATTGCTTATTTAATTTCAAGAGAAGGAGTCTTATTACTTCTTATATTTCCCTACATTCACCACTATGCACGAGATGCTCTTAGACTGTCTTTGGGTTTTCAATGGAGGACTTTATAGAGTTATTGATATTTCTTTGAAGGAGAAGACATGGAGATTTTTATTCATTATTTTTGATATGGACTTCAAGAGATTGGGTTGAATTATTGTTTTTACTATCTTACAACCCATTGTAGGTGTGCCATCAACAGAATGTATGATTTTATATGGAGGGAAAATAGTTTCGATGAAATTTTGTTGCTACTATATTTCTCCTTCCTACTATATTTCTTCTTTGTTGCTGTTTCTTATTCTGTTATTATTTTGGGATTACTTCATCAACATATTGCTGTAATTGTGAGACTTATATATATATATATATGACATATGCGAAAGTATATTAAAGTTGCATTTAGCTTTGCGAATCTAATTATTTAACTTGCCATACTTAGTATTTGATAAGTCGTCGATATTAAGGAATTTCATTACATCTATTTACCAGCTGGCCTGTTTCCAATATTTTGGTGCCTATAGTGATGTCCTGTCCATAATTTTTCTTATGCTGGAGAGGCTGCCTCAAGCTGGATACAAGAGAAGCATGTCTGGGCAATGTAGTTCTTCATTTTGATCTTTATATATCCTTGAAGATACTTTTTGATTTATATTTCAGAATCTACTATTGAAATCAAATGAGGCTATATTGCAGCGTTGAAAATCACTTACCTATATTGCAAAGTTGCAAGGACAGTTGAATGGGAAGGAAATCATGACAAGTGGCTTTGTACACAGTGCTTCTGTTTAAGAACTTGTCATTTATTGGATTGACAGGTTGGTGTTTAAGGACTTGTCATTTATTGGAATGACCATTTTGTAAATGACCTTTGTTTGAGAAGCAATTGTATATTGCTTTTATTGTTATTGTTCATAAATGACCTTATTTGGAAAATGTAATGACATCTATTAACATCATTCAGAGGTTAATGAAGATTTAAGTAGTTCACTTGTTTTGATTAGCATATGTATATGACGTTTATATCAAAATTTAGCAGAATGCCATTGACAAGTCTATGAGACCCTATTGACAAGTTAGGGAGTCTGAGTTAACAATTAAATTTATAAGATAATATTGTGCTTGTTTGAGAGAGCTTCTGATGGGCCATAAGCAGCTTATTTGAAGATAAGCCTGATTCAAAATTTGTCTCTGTTTGGCACCACTAGTGAGCCACCGAGCTTGAGGGCTGAAAAGCATGAAAAAGCATGATTAAATTTAAGCTAAGGAGGGGGAGCTTTTTTGAATAAGTAGCTTATGGACCATGTCAAGAAAAGGCTACCAATGCGAGGCTTCTGCTATTCTTGTCATTTTCTTCATCTTGGCATCTTCCATTTTCTTATCTTGAATCTTTTTTTTTTGGCCAAAATCTTGAATTGTAATTTGAGACCCGTTGGCATTTTTATTTCTAATTTAAGACTTGAGTTAATTTAACTTGATTGGCTCTTATCATATTTTTTTTAATTTTTATTTGTCAGATTTATTTATAAATGTGAATTATGCGTGTTTCACTTTATATTTACAATAATTTTTTATGATTCCTCTAATATTTTAAAATTTAATTCACTTATTAAATTTCACTTCTTCATATTAAATTAATTTAAACTCATTATATTATATAAATTTATTTTTTAATCGTATTTCATTATTTATTAAAACTCATACCCATTTTGGAAATTTACAAACAAACTTATTTTTATTCAATCATAATCCACTCAATAAATTTCACTTCTTCATATTAAATTATTTTAATTTCATTGTATTATGTGAAATTTTTTTTAATCATGTTTCATTATTTATTAAAACCCATACCCATTTTAGTTATTTTACAACCAAACTTATTTTTATTCAGCTATAACCCAAACAACCATTTACCAATCTCACTTTTGCAAACTAGTTTTTCTAAACTCCAATCCAAACACAATTCAATTTATCCAATTTAGCTTTTACCAACTTTATTTTTTCATGAACTACTTTTTCAATAAGCTATTTTTCTAATCACTGATCCAAACGGATCCATTACCTCCATGTAAGATTAGATTATAATAAATAGTATTATATAACAAATTTTACGCTGAAAGAATGTGCCGTCAAAGCATGCACATAGATATTAAATGAAATGATGGGGTTTATATGATAATGTTGTTACAGATAGCCATTGACAAGCTCAAGGGCATGGACTTACAAGTCAATGAGAATCTATTGACAAGTTAGAGAGTCTCAGTTGACAACTCAATTTGCGAGATAATATTATCTCAACATAAGATCAAATTATAACAAAATAATATTGGATAGTTTTTTTAAAGCTAAAAGCATGTGTGATCAAAGCTTGCACACAGATATTAGATGAAATAATAGGTTTATATCAAAACTTTGTTGCAAACAACTATTGACAAGTTCAAGAGCATGGATTAACAAGTCCATGAGAACCTATTAACAAATTAGGGGTCTAAGTTGACAACTAAATTTCTAAAATAATATTACCTCCATATAAGGTAAGATCAAATTATATTTTAAGTTGATATCATGTGTGATCAAAGCATGTACACTGATATTAGATGAAATGATGGATTTATATGAGAGTTTTGATGCAGATAGTCAGATAGTCATTGAGAAACTCAAGGGCTTGGATTAACAAGTCAAAGAAAACCTATTGACAAGTTAGGATGTCTTAGTTGACAACTAAATTTGTAGGATAGTATTACTTCCACATAAAATCAAATTATAATAAAATAGTATTGTATAACAATTTTTAAGCTGAAATCATATGTGATCAAGGATGCACATTGAATATTACATCAAACTATGGGTTTATATCAGAATTTTGTGGCAGACAATCATTGACAAGCTCAAGGGCGTTGATCATTAACAAGTCAATGAGAACATATTAACAAGTACTAGCATTGGATTTTATAAGTATAGCAAAATATAAATATGACATTATATCAAACTACTTTCACATTTCATTTACAACTCCATATATATGTACAATATAATTACACCAACAACCCTTCTAAAAAATCATATACATATATATGTTGTATGTCTATCTAATGACCCCTTAACTTGAGGTGCATGTAATGAAATTTACAAAAAAAAAAAAATACTGATACATGAATTCACAGAAAAAATTGTCACATGCATTCGCAAAAAAAAAAAAAAAGCTACCAACAAATCTCAACTTAAATTGGAGTTCTTGCAGGTCTTTGTAATGTGCCTTCCTTTATCATTCTTGCTCTCACACTACCCCTAGCTTATTGTATTTCACATTCCATACCATGAATAAATTGTGCCCTCTATGAAGAAAACAAGACAGATGCATCTTACTTAAACTTGCCATCTTTTATATCATCATGTCAAAAGCACTTGTCATTGACAAATCAATAAGTTACATTGACGACCTTTGATACATCTATTAACAATTCATTCTCTTCTCTGTTTCCCCCCCCCCCAACAAATGAGGATAAAAACATCTTTTCATAATTCTAATATATTACTCACAAATCCCTGAGAACTTTACATTAATTTCAACATTTAAAGGGACCATGGATGAATAAATTTTCTTGTTTGGGACCTGTGTGTAATTTTCCATAACATTTAAGGGTCCCCCAATAAGAAATGACCGTTAAAGACTTTGGCCTTTTTTTTTTTTGTTGCCAGCTAAAGACTTTGGTCATTACATGTTGAAAACTTATTTAATGGGCGGACGAAAATGCCTCTAGCTAAAATGGGTTCTGCTGGAGTAAATGTCAACTCAATTTTCATAATTTACATACATCTCAATTTCACATCACCTATAAAAATTGACTTACAAAATTTATATCTCATCTTCCATGATTTAAAAAAAATTATTCAATATTTAGAACTAACATATTATGCCCATCATTTTACCAAAATGGAGCTTGTAATTTAAGAAAAAATAATAAAATATTAAATAGCATAGCAATGACAGGATTAAAATTCAATAGTTCACATATAGATTGATCAAGTTGCCTGTTCGACTTTCCCTTAATAAATAACTACTACCCTTGGTTCTAAATATGAGAGCTAGTTGACTAATTTGAATAAATTAAGGAAACAAGTTAAGTTAGTTATTTGTAATAAATAAGTATTGTCTTTCCTAAAATATTCTTGCTAATCAAGTTTATTAGTTAGAACTACCATTATTAGAAGGAGTATCTTGAAAAAAAAATGAATAAATATGAAAGATAAAGTAGATTGGGGTCTTATATTTAGGATCAAAATAAAAGTTAAATGACATCTTATATTAAGGACCAGAGCCAGTATTTAATTTCTTGGTACGTAATTATATTTGCGATCTATGACAACTAGTAGTTCTCCTTTATTTTCCCTTACGTGTTACATTATTCATTTATTCCTATACAGTGAATTATGCTTCCTCGCACTTAGTTCAACGAGACCAAAAATAAAAAGAAAAGAATGTTACGAGAGAAATTATAAGACTCCCAAAAATAACAAAATTGCTATTTTTGAAAGTTTTCTCTCGTAATATAATTCTCCCCCTTTATTTTCCTCTCATGTTTCCCTCAATCTAGATAAAGCCTAAAGAAAAAAAAAATTGTAACTTCACATATATAACAATATCATGAGTTGGGAAAAAAACATCTCAAGAAAATTTATGGATGACAATTAGTGCAACTTTATTTTATTAATCCATAGAGAGATAAACAGTGCAACAGATCAGATATGTCACACTATCACATCATCGTCATCGTTATTAGATTATACAAACTGGAGAGTTTAGGAGCTCAAATTAAACCACCATGGATAGCTTGGAGGCATCAGAGCTGTCCTTAACCTTATCGAACTTGAAGACCAGAGGCTCATCAACTGTGACGACCAAACGTTGGAAGTTGTTAATGTCAACGAGGACTCCGATGTTTCCACACTCTCCTCCAGTGTGACAGAAGACAAGCTTATAGTGTCCTTTGGTTTCATCAACAGACCAAACGGAGAAATAACCATCCATCACAGAACCATCGAACTCTTGAGCACTTCCAACCATCACGGGCTCCCTAATAGGATACGACCTCGTGACGAGCCAGTTTTTAGATTTGGTACAAACGTTGGGTGCGAACTGAGCGAATGATATGTTCAGAGGAAGCTTCTCTGAGATGTAAAGTATTTTGAACGGAGAAGATATGGTTGTTGACCATCTGTTACTGGATCGGATCACGGCGAGTGAGCAATTAGTATCTGATCCGTGCCTCACTGCGCCGGCGAAAATCCCACCTCCATTTACAGGTGAGATGAAGTATTTGCCGCCGTTTCTCAATGGATCGCCGTCTGAGTCTAGCACTAGGCCGTTGCCGGCGAAGGCGGCGGCGGTGGTGGTGAAGGCAAAGAGGAGGAAGAAGAGGAATGTTGCAGGCAACGCTGAAGTGGTCTTCATTGTTTTCGTGATGTGCGTGTATATGGCTATGGAAGACTTGGTAGTTTTTTATTTGGTGGGTGTGATGAGTTCATGTGAAGTAGGAGCATCAATTTATAGAGTTGGCCGTGAAGAAGTGACCGCTTAAAGAAGTTTAAAATTATTTATTTGGGGTTTGAGCCACGTGAAAAATGGGATGGGAAAAAAAGTACAAAACTAGATAAGGATGCCGGCCGCCACGTATGTATATTATATAGTGACAAATATATATTTTTTAAAAAAATCGTTCTCCCAATATTATATATATTTTATTTTGTATCATCTTGGGAACTCTTCATTATATTATTAATCCATATATCAACTATATATTTATATCAATTCAAGTCATAATCAAGGTTGCTTCCCGTGCAAAATTATACGGATATATAAGGCTGCTCTTCCACAACTCTATATAGCGACAAATAATTTAAGAGAAAAGGTTTTTCCAATACAATTCTTACTATATACTACTAACATTATAGACTTCAATTTTAAAGCTAATTAATTAAATGGCTTAATTATTACATGTTTTTACTTAAAAAAAAAAAAGGCTCCTTAAGTTTGTTTAGACCTGGGCGGGGCTGTCATGCAAAAAAAGTGCCAAGTGTCCCTTGAGAAATCGGAGGGACACCTAATGCTATTTTTTCACAAACTAAAAGGTGTCTTTCTATTAGAGGCGATCTCATTTAGAATATTTTCAAGCACTAAATGTTGAACATCTCTTTTAACATGAATTCAAATATTAATTCGTAGAGGGTAGCCCTTTTAACTAAATACAATTCCTAGTTGGTAATACTGTTTATTTGTTCTTTTTAAAGACAAAATGGCAAATATATTGAAGCAGAGTCATATAAAAGACCTAGGAAAAATGACGTAAAAAGAAGTTCGAAATTGCTATATTCTAATTCAAGCATTTAAGAGGTCAAAATCTTAGGGAAGGAAGTGATGAGTGATTTGGTATTTTGAAAATGTAGTTAAATGACAAAAATGTTATTGTATCAAAAAGTTTATTAACAAGTTATGAACTGACAATGATAACTATTAAACAACAAATGACAAGAAATATAATGATAATGACAAGTTATTTATTAATAAGTTGTGCAAGTGTTAAACAATCAATGATTAAAAAATATACTAATAACAAGTTTGATAGCTTTTTTTTTTGTTTAAAAAATCTGGTATAAAGATATTTTAGTTATTTGACTATATTTATAAAATATCATATCAGATACTACTTCTATTTCTGAAATTTTGACCTCTTAAATATCTGAATTAGAATATTGTAATTTATAATTTTTTTAATGTCATTTTTGCAAAGACTTATGTCTAGAGACTAGAAGCCTGAGAAAGAAGCTTAGCTAGATTGCTAAGCCCTTAAACGTCTTTTTACTGAATCAATTATCTCATGGCAGATGGGACACTTCTCTCAGATCAATATCTATATGTTCAAGTATACTCGATCTTGAGCCGAATTGACGGAAATTTTAATGATAATCCATATGTCTTGTCTCGTGGAGTTTGACCCGTCCCGATAAAACCGAGACAAGACCAACAATTATGTGAACTTGGAAATTTAATGGGATGGATGACAACATATGTAGAGATATATCGCTCCACATGTTTTAGTGGGACTAGGAAGAACATTAAAACTATTAACATTCATTTTTTTTTTTAAGAAAAGGATCTCTTAAGTTTAAAATTCATATGTATATTGTAATATAAATGATCTAAACTTACAAACGTAAACAAAAACTAATTATCTATGTGCTGCTTTTTTTCTCTCAATATTAACACCCAATTCAGCCACACACGTAGAGCTCTAAACTAAAAAAAATGTTTTCTCCTTCTTCAAGTGTTTAATAATCCTTCCAATAATTTATGAACATCCACCCATTAAAATGCCAGCGAAAAATCTATCTGCTTCATTCGTACAATTTTAAGTTTTATTTTCCATAACACTTACACTAAATTATGGAAAATGCAAATAGCCCTATTCATTTCAACCAAAAAACACTATGAGATGCATCAGTAACTCCCCAGACATTCCTATATCACACATTATATTAGACTCTTAAAAAAAAAAACTGATTTTAAGATATTGGACACGAGTAAATCCTTTAGTTTTGACTAAAACTTTCTTAGTGACAATTTTTTAAATAAACATTTATAACTTAATTGTGGGTGTTTTTTATTTTTTGAATATTATTAAAGTAATATTTTCTATTTTAAATGTCAGCTTTCCCATTCAATAATCGAGATGATCACGTGTTTCAGGATGCGGATAGAAAAAGCGGAAACGGACGAGTCTGCGTGCATATTAATCGGTCCACAAAATATTGTTATAAAAAAAAGAAAAAGAAAAAAAGAAAGCACCCTGTGCATTCGATCATGATCAATAATTTTAACCAAAAAAAAGAAGTCACAAGTATTTTTTTTTCAATTTTTTCTTTTTTAACATAATATTCAATTAATGTGTCACGATTTTTTTAACCTTTTTTTCTATTTTATTGGGAGATACTTTTTTTCCCTAATAATTAATTAATACTTTTTTCCCCCTCCACACCTCAGAAAGGAACAAAACAATATGTATTAGATTAGATCTTGTTTGGAATCATAATTATAAACACATTTTATATAAATCAAAACAAAACTTCTCAAATATTTATCCTTTTTTTTCCCAAAGCATAAGTAGCCTATTCAAGGTACTGTCAGGCACTAAATATAGGCATCTCTCTCAATGGGAATTCGTTATCATGTTATGAAAGACTAATCTCTTCTGCTAGACCCAACTCCCATTAGTTATCTATCTACCTTTAATCCAAGAGCTTTGTGTTTGTAAGTTTGTCCCAGTAGGCCCAATGAATCCGGTCTGACCTGCCCAGTTTAGCTAGTTGGATCGGGTCAAATTCCACTCCTAATTCTGTGAAAATAATAAAATTATAAAAATTCATTTCTCTGGCCCAAGATATAAAGATTCATATTTAAAACAACAAATTATTAAAATAAATCATAATTAAAATCTTAATGTTTACAATTCAGAATAGAATTTATAATTTGATTTAAAATAGATTTTTTGTTGCTAAGGCAAATCCATTCATTTTGAGGATAACTGATATATTATTTTGATCTTTAATATAAAAATTAGTTAAAAATTTAATTTGATTCTAAATATAAGACCACAATCTTTGTTGTCTTTCATATTTATTTATTTTGCTTTTAAGTAATTCTTATAGTGATTACACATGTTAATAAATTTTTATGAAGAGGTAGTTTTAATGCACATAATTAATGAAAATATTTTAAAAAAGATAACATCCATTTATCATAAATAATTAATTAAATTAAATTTTTTAATAATTTCAAATTGATTATCTAATGGGTATATTAGGCATACAAGCAGCTTGCGAGTTTTGGAGGTGTTTGGTAAAATTTAAAAATACTTTTAAAAAATATTTTTTAATAAATCAAGATAAATTTTTTTATATATTTATTTTGTATATTGTAAAATTAAAAGTTATGATCTTGATTTCTATCCAAGAGTCCTACCACATTGACGCGGAAGACGAAACAAAACGTGCAGAACATTTAATTTATATGCCGTGTAATACTTCAAAGCGGGCCCCCGGCCATGTGACAATTTCGCCGTCGCCCCTACCAACCCCCCCCCCCCAAAAAAAAACAAGCAAAGCAGAGACGTTTCGTTTAATTACGCCAATGCCCCCTTTTTCATAAAGAGGAATCGTACCAATGACTTATATTTTTTTAAAAATAAATTATTATTTAAAAAATTATAGATTAAAAATTTTAAACATCAACAATGCAAATTAGATTGTAAAAGATATAGATTTCATAACAACAATAATCACAAAATACTCATTACTGTGATAAACGGTGAAATACTTTAACCTTGTATATTTGTCGCCTGATGGAGGTGGCATCCTTAATTATCCTTCTCATGTTTACTCATGGCTAAAACCCTAAAGAAAATATTTGATTTTCCCACCATTTTTGAGGTTTAATTGCTATGGCTGCCTATCTATAACCTTTAGCTTCCTCTTCCTCATTTACCCAGACCACAGAACCAAACCTAAATATCTTCGCATTACATCACCACACACCAAACAAACAATGAAGCCTACTCCACTATTTGCATTCTTCTTTTTCCCTTCTCGTTGCCTTTACCGCCGCCGCCACCGTGGAAAGAGGCGAGCCACTGTTCGGCACAGACGGCGAATTTGTGAGAAATGTCACACATACTGCATAAACCCTAACCCTCATGTTAGAGGTGGTGGGATTATATTTTCTCCCACCACGCTAGATAAGGATGCCGGGCGCCACCTATGTATTAATGTATATTATATAGTGACAAATATATTTTTTAACAAAATTGTTCTCCCAGTTTTATATATTTTATTTTGTATCGTCTTGCGAACTCTTCATTATATTATTAATCCATATATCAACTGTATATTTATATTAATTCAAGTCATAATCAAGGTTTGTTTCACGTGCAAAATTATAAGGATATACTCCTCCGGTCCTTAATATAAGACCCAATTGGTGAGTTGGTTTTAGTCCTAAATATAAGACCCATTTCTCATATTGATCAATTATCTCTAAATTACCCTTATAGATACCCTTTCAACCATAATCAAGTAGAAGAGAAAGATGAGGTATTAATAAATATGATTATGGTATTTTAGAAAAAACGTGTCATATTTCTTATAATTAACTAATTTACCTAACTTCCTTAATCTAATTAAATTAGTTAAATGGGTTTTATATTAAGGACCAGAGGAGTATAAGCTAAGGATGCTCTTCCACAACTCTATTACGTATATAGCGACAAATAATTTAAGAGAAAAGTTTATTCCAATACAATTCTTACTATTCAAATAATTTAAATAGGCTTTTTAAGTTTGTTTATACCCATCGGGGGGCAGTCATGCAAATAAAAAAGTACCAAATGTCCCTTGAGAAAT